AAGAAACTTACAGTCTAGGGAGGTTGGTACTATTGGTATCCCCAAATATAGAGATGAGGGAAAGCGAGGCTCAAAGAAGTTAAGTAATTTGTTTGCCCAGAATCATACGGCAAAAAAAAAGTGGCAGAGCCAGAATTCAAACCCACCACTCCAGCTGAGATTTTTACTCATGAGCAAAAGTGCATATGGAGGTTGTAGCTAATACATATCTGGTAGCTCAGACCTGCTAATCGAGTCATCTGCTGAGGAGCCTAGGTAAGCATCTGGTTTCCCTGTGTCCCTTATAGGACCCCCACTGTGCAGTGTCCCTTATAGTGGTCCCTCCTGAGCTTTCCTGCACGCAGGGTGGTGTAGACGAGTCACCAATTAGCAGCGAGACCTTGGGCTATATCTCCTATCAAATAACCGAATGGAGTGTTAGGTAACAGTGCACAATTCCTTTAAACGCGGTGCAACTATTCTTGAAAGCTGCGCTCAACCCCCCAGAAAAAAGGCCTCCATATATGTGTGAGTTCCTACTTTCCACTGGAGGGGTAAGGAAGCTGCCACTAGAAGATTACAAGAGACTCTACAAACAATTCGGGCGCTCCTCTAGCCCTCTGGGCCAGAAATACCTGCCTTCTGGCTAAGGGCTGCGCGTCCCGCCCGCCACAGCCTGCTGGCCACACAGAATCCCTTCAACAAACGCCACTTTGGCAGCCGCAATGTTTGGCCTATCCTAACCATCTGCTCAAATAAAAGTAGCGATATCACCAAATACTAACCAGGCAGAGAGAGGCACCCGGACGCACCTGTCTTATTCCCCACAATTTCTTAGCCCAACGGACCACCTCACTTGACACCAGGTTCATCACGTTAAGCGGAGGAGACTCCCTCCACCGCCCAGAACCCATCCGACTAAGCTGACTTGGCGGCCTCGCTGCGGGATGGGCTGGCTCCGCGCCCCACACGCCACCACACCAGGACAAGCCCCCTGCGCTCCGCCTTTCGCCTGGCAACCTGCACGTGGGAGCGGCGACGCGGACGCAGGAGGTGTGTCTAGCGAAGGATGTGCGCTCCGCCTCCCGCCCCCCTGCTGCGCCTGCTGCGCCTGCGTCTGGTGCTTCGGGTCCCGCCCGACCGCTGAGCGCATGCGCCTGAGAGGCTGGCTGGGTGAGGGTTCCCCCCAAGGAGGGCAGGGGGAGACGGAAATGGAAGGGGGTAACGCGCACCTGCTCGCCCCAGACCCAGCGGCCGCTGGAGAACGCGTTGAGGACCGTGTTGGGGGCGGTCATCGTTGGGGGAGGTTCAGATCCGGGCTCTGACCCGGAGGTGAAGCAGGGTCGCGGCGGCCCGCTGACCCGCCCCTATTTGTGTGTATGTGTCCAAGCAGGAGATATGGAGAACTGTTTGGCGGCTGCGGCGCTGAACGGGGTAGACCGACGTTCCCTGCAGCGCTCGGCTAGGCTGGGTCAAGAAGTGCTGGAGCGGGCCAAGAGGAGGGCGGTGGACTGGCATTCGCTGGAGCTTCCCAAAGGCAGCGAGGGGTTCATTTCCCGGGAGCAGCCCTACCAAGAAAAACGGCCCGCAGCCGGTCCCCAGCGCTTTCGGCCAGCAGAGGTGAGGGCGCCTGTGCAAAGGGACCAGCCCATTCATTCTCTCAGCGGGGCCTGCAGGACACCAGGGCATGCCACACAGAAGCACTTGAGGAATCCTGTCTTTGGTGGAAGCTGTGAAGTACCAGGACAGGGAACATAAAAGCACTTTGAAAACTCGTGACATGTGATAGATTCTTTTTGGGTATCTTTAGGATACCGCTAGTGCTCAGCCCTGGTTGGCTACTTTTAAAAAAATTCTTACATGCTACCATCTGATATTAGAGGAAAGCCGGCAAACCTATCTTTGTCCTGGACAAATTGCATGTCAATGTATTCCTTTTATAGTTGGAATTTTTTTCAGTAAGATCTTTTTTTTTTAAGATTTTATTGGGTAATCGGGGAAGGGGAACAGACAAGTTGCTGTCCTTTTGTTCTTCACTGGCCCATATTGGTGTTATAATTGTGCTCTTCTTGGGTGAGGCAGTCGCTTGCCGGCCATTGGCGGGCTGCTTATGTCCGCTCACAAAGCTCACGCCCACTGAGGGCCATCCCCAGTGCAGCGTACTCCGTCGTGGGCGACTCAGGGCAGCCCAGCTCCAGGTCGAGCTGTTATTCACCATCTTAGCCGTAGAGGGCACAGCATCACTGGGCCTCATGTGGGATCCGAACTGGGGCCCTGCTGCTCAGAGGGCGTCCCAAGCCAACTCCTAACCAACGTGCCACTCGGCCGGCCCTTCAATAAGATCTTTTTAAACTTGCAGAGCTTTTAGAAAAGTAAAAAGGAATCTAGTCCTGGGCTGGCCGAGTGGTGCATTGGTTAAGGGCTGGCTTGGGATGCCAGAGGGCCCCGGTTCGGAACCCACATATGAGGGCCAGTGACACTGCCCTCTATAGCTAAGATGTTGAACAACAGCTCAACCTGGAGCTGGGCTGCCGTGAGTTGCCAGCGACGGCGTAGGCTAGCCAGCAGCCAGCGTGAGCGGCCAGCAGCCGCAGTGAGCGGCCGTCCAGAAGCCCGCGACTGAGCTGCCTCGCCTGGGAAGAGCGCAATGATGGTGCCAACTTGGGCCAGTGAAACAACGTCCTCCACAACTAGACTGAAGAACTAAAGGACAGCAACTTGTCTGTTCCCCTTCCCCCAATTCCCCAGCGCTGTTCCCATCCGCCAATTCCCCAGTAAAAAAATCTTTAAAAAAAGGAATCTAAGGGCCGGCTGAGTGGCTCAGTTGGTTAAGAGCTCGCTCAAGAGTTTGAGCTCTGAGCAACAGTGGTTCGAGTCAGCCCGAGCTGAGCAGCCGCGGAGCTGCCAACAGGTGGCAGGATGGCTCAGCTAAAAAAAAAAAGGAATCTATTCCCAAAATGACTCCATTCTCCGGTAGGGAATACCAGATCTCACCTGTGACTTGCTCTTTATTCAAATAGAGAGAAGAAAGACCCCCAACCCTCAGTGCTTCCTTCAGAACAATGGCTGAATTCATGGGTTACACTTCAAGTCAGTGTGGGGTAAGTTGGTGTAAGCCAAAGCTATGACCCTGCTCTGCCTGCTGATGGATCACAAAGTGGATCTTTGTATTAGGTTAGTGCAAAAGTAATCGCGGTTTTTGCCATTATTTGTAATAAAATTTACAACCTAATAAAATTTAGAGGCAATGGAGACTACCTGCTTACCCTGCCCTGCCTTCATGGGCAGATTGCAATCAGTCAAGGATTTAAAGCAGGTAATAAATCCAAGTTAGGATTCATTCAACACTCTGTAGGTGATATTGAGGATGATACTACCGTGAACAAGTCAGAAAAGGTCTCTGCCCTCACTATTGTTTTTCATACTGGGGGGCGGGGGGCTTATTGCTGAATTCCAAAACAATCATGTCCAGATATTAGGAGTTTTTAAAAAACTTTGAACTGCAGTAAGTTTTAAAAAAATCAGTAGGGTCCCTAAACTGGAACTGAGCTTCTGAGCCTCTGTTTTCAAAGAAAACAAAACTCCTGCGTTAGATCTTAACCTCTGTTTCAAGTCCCTGGTAATTAACGTAGGTTTAAGTATGTCCCTATGGGTTCCTATCGCTTGTTGGCCACAAAGGTGGTTGTGGGGAACAGGCAGCACCCTCATGGGAAGTGGTGTGGCTTAAGGGCAGGAGCAGCCTTCTAGGAATCAGACCCATGTTCTGCCACTTACTGGCTGTAATGCCTTAGACCAGTTAGTCTCTCTCAGCCTTCTCTTGCCCAAATGAAAATCTCAGAAGTTCTTTCCGGCTTTTACAGTCTGTTCCTTTGGTTTCCACTGAGAGATGAACACCAGAAAATTGTCATAAAACTGTAGCATGAGGGACTTCTGATTTTTTGGTACCATTCGTTGAAATGGGTGAACAAAGGTTTTAAAGACCCTCTTTTCAAAACCATATACTAAGGTCATCTTTAAGTACTTCAAGGGAATGTTGAAGGCAGGCCAGCCAAGGAAATCTCCTGCATGGGGGGTACTGTCTTCTAGGAATTACAACAGACTCTGGTCTCTTCCAGTCTTACATTTTGTGATTCTTAGGTGGTTGTAAGAATGCTGGTCTATAAGAGAGAAGGAAGAGAATAACTGTTTCTGTCCTACTTTTCAGTTTTATATATTAAGATTCCAAAAAAATCTCTAATCTGTCTACATTTTTTACAAAATCCCTGTGACTCCAAGAATAGGATTGCAACCAATGAGATATATAGTTCATAGAATATTTTTTTGTTCTTATTCTGTTAAATGGTTTTAGAAAAACTCATAACTTTGGCTGTACTGTAGAGTGATCAGCTTAAACATTTTGGTTCATGGTTCAGTAAAAGAAATATTTGTCTTTGGTTTGAGGTTTAGCAAATTGGTACTCTTCATTTTTGTTTTCAGTTCAAGTCTCCATTATAGAATGGAGCCTCAGAACCCCTCGGCTTTCCGAGATAGAATTAAGAACAGTGTTCTGAGTTTGCCTCCACAATTTTGAAGCAGCCACTAAAATACATCATTAGATCCATGTCCTGAAGTGCTTTCTCCAGTTTCTCATTCGTTTGAACACTGTCCCTATACTATGTTCAGAACAAACAGGCTTGTGGTGTCCTCATCATTAGTCATAATCAACAGCAAGTCCAAGGTTAACTTCCAGGGGGAGGAAGGAAGTAGACAAGAAAAATGGAACTGCTTTCTGATCCTGTGAATTATTCTCCTTAAACTAGAGACCTCTCCTTCCTCTCCTCCGCAGGGGAGAATGGCTGCATGCTATTGGGTTTATGCTACATTTCCTGTTGTACATCCAGATCCCAAGGAGATGCACCCCTCTCTTCCCTTGTCCTTGTCTGAGACTTAGACACTAAACATGGAACTGTTCATCAGAACTTATCATGAGAGGAGATGAAAGGACATGTGTACTTGACATTGGGGTGCAGATATGAAAGTTATTTAACCTGGCAGAGAGCATGGCTCTGCCTAGCTTTAGTTGGCCAGCGTTCTTGCCCTGCAGAGGCAGCAGATGGCAGCAAAGTAATGCCCAATGAAGTTTCCTTCTCTGCAGCCACTACATGGGCTCAGATGTGTTACATGACTTCAGAGGCCTGTCGAGAGGGCAGGTGATTTACCCTCACTCTCTCGCCTCCCTTCTTAACCATACTGTACCCAAGTAAGTGTTTAGAAAATGTAACCAGACTATTTGGCTACCAAACATCTTTCATATTACTTCTCTAGAAATATTATTCATCTGTGCTAGAGGAAGGAGGGGCAACCCACGTCTATCGTTACCACAGAGGGAAGTCGGAGCTCCGCTTGTGCCCGGACATAAGGAACGGTCAGGTATGTACCTCAGCTGCCCTGTGCTGTGCCCTCAGCCTCAGACCCCATTTTCCGGAGCTCCTGCTGGATCTGTATTACTGGATGCCTGCGTGACTCAGCATTACTGTGCTCAACGGAAATGTATCAGCCCGCAGCCTCAGAGAATTTACAGCAGTGAATATGAAATAGGAGCTTGTCCAAAATGTGACTGATAAACCCCGGTAGGATCTTCCGCTGAACCTGCAATCCTGGGCCACATGGTTCTTGGGCAGGCTTAAAGAAAAGAGCTTCAGATATCCTATTCCACATCTAGCGAGAGGAAAGAGATTTTTCATAATCACGTATTCTACTCTAAGGCAGTGATACTTATCGTGTCTTTAGTAATCTTAAAATAGAGAGTGCAAGGAGAGGGTCTCTTTTAACAAAAATACTTTCCCTGAAGATAATAACTACAGGCATCTCATTACAAATGTACCTGTCTTTTACCGCATGTCATTCTGGAGAAGACAAAGGTTCTGCTTGTTGAACTGATTCTACAGAAATCCTTTGTTGTTGTTTTTGATGAGTTTTGTTTCTCTTTTTCTTTTTCCTTTTTTTCCTTTTTAAACTCCCCCAGTTGTACTCAAAGATAACAAATTTAAGTCCAGAGTCTAATCCACAAGTTGTGTTTCTGACTTCTCTGGCTTGTGGGTTTAGAGAAAGGATAGAAGAGTGGCCACAGGGATACGAGAGAGGGCTGGATGCACGCTGGAAGTCCTCCTTGTTTCCACAGTCTGGGCCCCTTTTCTGGCCTGGCCTGGGGCTCTCAAGTGAGCCTGACTCTAAGAGGGTTACATGCAGGCAAGCATCATCCCTCCCATTTCTTCCTGTAAAATGTAAGTTGGTGCCTCTAAGGAAAATGGACTTTATCAATTCAGTCTGTTCCCCTCTAATCCTCCCCCTCCTGGAAGAGCACAGCAGAGAATTCTGTTTTCTGAGCGCCTGTTAAATATTAGTCACTTTTGCACTTTAAATCGTCTCTACAGTCGCGTATTCCCGTGTTCTAGATGAGGAAACCAAGGCTTAGAGAAATTAATCTGTCCCTTTCTTTCAGTGAATAGTAGAGATAGGATTCAAACTCAGGTCTGTCTGACTCCAAAGCCCACGTAAGGATAAAAAGTAATCGTGATAAACATCTGACTAAGAATACCTCACAGAATTCACTAAAAGCCTTAATAACTTAGGTGACAACTTAGAAAAAAGTGACAAAACAATTGTTAGTTCCTAATAAAGTGGGAGAAAATTTCTCTTTACAAGCCAGAAGTCAGAGCTTGGGCGTTAAGCAACATGTCTACTTGTCTCTTCAGAGAACAGAAACACCCCTTGGTCTTGGAGGCATCTATCAAGCCGCAGAGTGTGCTCTAGAGGCATCCCGTCCTGTGAGTACAGAGGTCCGAGTGTCCCTGCACCGGCCTTCACCACTGCAATTCCATGAACCAGTTGACCTGGTTATTATAGGGCTCTTTGTACTGGATCTAGTATTTTTTAAGTTGGGATGTTTTTATCCCTGGGGGGAGTGTACAACATTTTGGTTCAGTGTAAAATTATGTTTTCTTGGTACCCTTCCTTCACTTGAAGCATCAGGGATGCTCTGTGCCTGAACTCATAGTTGTGGTTGGAAAGAATGTGAAGTATTCACATCTCAGTTCCTCCAGCTCAGCTGGGCTGGCGCGGGATCCTGCCTGAAATTCCACCATCTGTTCAAGCAGCAGAAGGGGCCTGACCCTCGTGATTACAAAGTGAAAACCATTACTGAAATTCTGAAACACATACATTTGGTTAGGTTGGGTTCCAAAACATTTTAAGGGATTTGTTCCCATTTTCCACAAATGTCTCTGTGTCAAAACATACAGGGATGAGTTTTTCATTTTTAGGATAAAGTACTCATTAGTTCATAAACTCAGGAAATCTTTTGGAACTTGGAAGGGCTGGAATTCTGAGGAAAGGAACGCCAGCATGTTGCTGCAATAATTTACTTAAATTTTGTTTGTGTACAGTGTGCTATTAGCTAGACTATACTGAAGTTAGTAGCAACCAAGAATATTCTGCTTCTAGTACAAATATAAGTTATTGGCTTAGATGCCTCGACACTTGCTGGATTTTGGGAATGCTTATCTTCCTGAAGCTCACGGTATAGGAATCACACATGCCAATCCTACCCGTGTTTCCTTGTAGTCACACAAATGCAGCATCCTTTGCTTTCTGTAATCCTGATACAGCTGTATTTTCTGAAACCTACTTTTGTTTATTTACATAGTTGATGACCAATAGTTGTGGTATTGTCACGTACATTCACATCCGTTAACCGATAATAGACCTCCAATTTTACAGTAACTGAATGTGAAAGGATATGGTATAAAGCATCTTTGGAAAAAAATTGGCTTAAGATCTGTAACGTGGAGAGGGAGAAAGTTTCATAAATATTATCATTTATCCTCCTAGTGGAATTTGCTGGCCAGTGGTTTGGTTTATTCCCCCCGGGTGTGGTGGTAGAAATGACAGCTTCTGCCTGTGGCTCCTTCTGAGCACTGAGTGAGCATGAGTGGTGTCCCAGCTGTGGGATAAGAGCTCAGGCCCTTAATAACAGGCTCTTCTGTGGTGTGCAACTTTGCTCTTTTGCCATTTGAACTTGAAACCCCTCCTCGGCTGCACACCTGCCATGACCCGCGTCCCTGCCGTGTATGAAGTCTACCACTGGAGGATGGTTTGCACTCAGTTCTGGACATAAATCTTTCCATGAACTCCAGCTTCCGATGTTTTGCACTATAAATGGATCCTACTCATAGTGTTCCAGCTTTAGGAGAAAAGAAATGTTTCATTGTCCCACTAATGAATTTATCAAAGCACGGTGAAAAAGAATGGTTCTCATCATTCCAAGGTGCCTTGCCATTACTGCTAATCAGTGCTAACCCGTGCCACTGTCTGCTTTTGATCCCTAAAACAATGTCATTAGCCTTTCCTTCTAACTAATTCTCATCTTTCTACTCCAACTAAAGTGTTCTTTTATGATCCTTCATGTTCCTATAACACTGGGACGTTTACAGTATTTTTACATACATGCTTATTTATGAGGTAGGTATTATCACAGTGTTAGAAATACGGAAACAAGCATAAAGAGAGGTTGACACTTACCTAAAGGATAGTCCTATTATGTGGCTGAGACTTGAAAGCAGGCCGTCCATCTCCCACGTTGGTACTGCATTCCAGCTGGCCTCTGGCACACACAAGTGGCCTGGTGCAGGTGCCCTCGGCATTGGAATATAAAATCTCTAAACTGCTAATCCCTGCTTTCCTTCCAGGCTGAGAACATCTCTAAGGACCTTTACATAGAAGTATATCCAGGGACCTATTCCGTCACTGTGGGTGCAAATGACTTAACCAAGAAGACTCAAGTGGTGGCAGTTGACTCAGGGCAAAGTGTGGACTTGGTTTTTCCTGTATGATGTTGACCGTCACATTACCTTTTTTTAAGTAGCAAGGAGAATAAAGCCACCATATGATTCTCTTAATATTTGCACATTAATCCTGCTTTTAGGGCTGACTGTAGAGGGTCCGCCTTCCTGGTAACCGGAGTTTGTCTCTTTCAGTGCCTATTTTCACTTGAAAGTATGAAAGTCCTCTCACCCTCTTTTGCCTGAAATAATGATGCTGTCTGAATAGTTTTTAATGCTGGTTTTCCAAGTAAAGGTTAATTATGATAATAAAAGGAACAATTTGGAAATAAAGAGAATTTCTTTTTATTGGTATTAAAAGCAATAAAATGTCATTCATGTACAACTGTAGGCTTTATGAAAAGATGGCAGAGAGGCTGTGGTCACATTAGCCCAAAGCAGGCTGACCACAACCTGTAGCTTCTGTGGAAAAGGCATCCTCAAGCTGATCTCACCAGACCCCTGGCAGGAGCCCTGGCCAGGGCCACTGCACGCCTGTGACCCGTCCGGCAGGTGCCTTCCTGCTGCCTATCTGCAGGGAAGTCTTAACGGGGTGAAGATGCTGCTGCTTATTTGACTATCATCTGTGGCCCACACTCCACCTCCTTCCACTGAAGAAGGCTCTGGCAGCCACTTTGTCACTCCTCCTCAGGTATTTACCACCACTACTCTTCAGCTTCCTGTAAGAGAAGGAAAACTCCTGAGAGTTACACTGACTGCAGTTGTAAGGATTAAAAGTCACTGATTTTAAGTCATTGATGTGTCCTAAACTTCTGTAGCCGGCACACCAACAGTAATGTTGCGTCTCTCAATTTAGTTGCCTGGTCATTCATCTCATTTTGAACATAAGAAGTCTTTCCTCAGAAGAGGCCAGAATTTCATACGATGAAACTGAAGTTGCAAGTAGAGCTGCATTAGCATTCCTAGTGAGGAACGGACTCCCATGGACATAGGGCCCAGTAAAGCAGACCCATTCCCATCACCGTCGGGTAGAGGGTCATTTAAATGGGGATCCCTTCTGAAATTGTATGCCTTATTGTGGATCTGTGCATTTTTCTGGGAAGGGGAGCTATGGGTTTTATTTTCAAGGAGTGTGACCCCAAAAGGTAGAAGAATCATGAAAGGAGTCCTTAAGAAGCCCCTTCCCAACCCTGCTGCGTTACCTAGATCCTTAGGCTGTTAGTCTAAGAGGAATTCGAGTCCCTCTGACATGCTGTAGCACACCAACTCAGTTTCCCGTGTTCAGCTTCCTCTGGCAGGATCTGTAGTGGCTTCCTGTTGGCTGCTTCCAGCACCAGCTCCTTGGTGCTCCCCACTACGACAGTGTGTTGTCTCTGTCGTTTGTTGCCTGTATCTTCTTTCCGGATATTGCAGCCTCTAGTTCCTAAACCCAAAATTCAATTAGGTTGGTTGACTATGCCACCATTTTGATGGGATTAGTCTCGATGTCTTAAGTACAGCATATCAACCATCAAAGAATCTCTTCACTACTTGTAAGCTCCTAGCACTGTTCTCTATTTTTAAAGAAGAAATAAAGTTTGTTAATCATTTCTGCCTATTATGCTTTTGAGAAAGATTATATCTGATCACCAGACTTGGAATTGGGTGGGAGAAGTTGTCAGACATATTTTTCAAAACAGTCAGCAGGGGAAGCAAAGGTAAGCAACCCCTACCAGTTGATGGAGTTAATAAAGCACCCTGATCACAGAGGAGAGAGTAAGCTGATGGAAAAACAAGTTTCAGAGGTTGAAGGAGGCAAAACAAAAATAATGGGAGATGTGACTTCCTGAGGAACAGGATATAATCGAAAAAGGAAGGACTACTTTAAAAGAAATCCATCCCCTCCTTGACTTTTAAAACTACAGATTGAATCTTGTTTCAGTGTAAGCAAGGGTGGAGAGCAACGTGGCTGGCTGCTGGCAGCCAACAATCGGGTCTCTCCAGGATGGCTAGGTTAGGATCACTGCCTGTCACTGAAAGTAACAAAAAATCAAGGCCTCCGAGAAGTGTGCAGGGCAGAGGGACACATACAGAGGATTGCTAAGAGGCAGAACCTAAGACTGACTGTCAAGCATCAGAACTTGATGGCTCTCCAGCACAATTAGGAGAAGCAAAGCAGCACATTTCCTTTAAAGGATACAAAATTGAGAGGGGAGAAAGGAAAGTTCTGGTGTTTGCCACTGTTTTCATGCCCTGGGCACACGCAGTTTTATGCGCATCATCATGACTGGTTGTGGCATGGAATACCCCATCTGTGACAAGGTCTGGGGGTGGCCCATTTCTCCACACCCTATCTTGGGAATGTTCTCCACAGCTTTGGGTGCAGGGTTGGGACCTGGCAGAGGGCAGGTCCACTAATTCTCATGGTTCAGCTCACAATTAACCTTTGCTTACAGCATAACAAGTGATCCAGTACCTAAAGGACAGCCAGGCCAAGTACCTGAAGATCCTACTCATATATTTCTCTTCATAACCAATTAGTTGAATTTATTTGGTGGTGGTGGTGGGGAACCTTTGCACTGGATCTGTTTAAATTTGGTGGTGGGGAGAGAGACAGAATGTACGAGTACGTGGCTGGGCAGTGGAGATAAAAGCAGTGTATGCTTAGGGCCAGGGACTTAATCAGTTTTGGAATGAGTCTATGAAGCAAGCCACAGCAGTGTGAGTGCAGCCTGACACCTGGGGCATGTCTGACCACCATGTGCCCTCTGGGTACCCCACTGGCGTTCCTCTCCCTGAGGCTGGGCCTGGGGCTATCTTGGCTGCTCCCCACAGACTCCTCTGTAGGGCCAGCTTTCCTACCTCCAGGCTGTGCTGAAGCAGGAGGCAGTAGAAGCTATGGAGAATTTAGCATGAAAACTCTAGATTTGGGCACCATTTTCTTTGTATTATCACTTGTTGGGAGAGCAGGTGTTGTAGAAACAGCTGTTTCCAAGTAGCTTCGCTAAGGCCTCCCAAGGCATCCCACTGTGAGATCCGAGTGACCATTTCACAGACACCCTGGAAACTTGCCCAGCCTTTAGATTTCCAATACAAAGTTTCCTCTCAGAGATGGGAGGAAGCGCTCAGCTGCTCATGGCTGGAGTCTTGTCCCTTTAGTTATTTCCCTGTCAGAGGTCAGAGAAAGATCCCACACCTTGAAAGCCAAGGAAGGCCTGGAACCCTCTTATAAAATACAACAGCAGCTGACTTCTATCCATCCCTACCAACCCAAAGCCCAGGCGTCCAGTGGAGGCAACTTAGCAAGTTTCTCATTTTAGAAACAGTTTCTCAACTTTCTGGAACTGAAGGCTAATACAGACCTTACCCCTGGGGCAAGATTGGAATCCTCATGGACTAAGAAGTCCTTCTGGCCAGGCAGCTGTCCTGGAAATAGGGCCTGGCTCCCGCCCCGCATGGACGCCAATGTGGGTGGTGCCTAGAGATCCCTAAGCCCTTAGCCATGCTATTCTTTAATGCTCATAACATCCCTGCCCCAGAGTGAACGTTCATTTAGTTCACTGGATGTTAAATGAGTGACTTCAGGACCTCAAGAATCTAGTTTAGGGCTGGGCTTATCCAAGCCACCTCTGTCACATAGCTCTGCCAGCTGACTTAGACTGATGCTCTTTCTGGGCTCCTCTGGGAATTTCGATAGGGCGGGCCTGAGGCATATCGGTGATATACTGCCCCTAACCCGATAAGGGCATGTCACATGGTTCTTAGCTCAAGTTAAAGAAGTTTGGGGATGGCAGCAGGGTGCTGACAATAACACGGCCTCCCCTCTGAGCTGTAAAGAGTGAGCAACCGTTATGCAGGGTACCGCTCCTGCCTGCTCTAACTAAGGGACCCATCTGGAGAGTAGGGCCTGATGACCAATGTTTAAAAACCAGTTTCTGTGCTTCTCAGGGCACTGAACACTCTATTTAATACCTGGAGGTAGTATGACTATTCCGCTAGAGAAAAATCAAGGCCTCTGAGAAAAAAGGGGCGGAGGAGCAGGTAAACAGACAATGGCAGTTACTCTGTCAGGAGAGACTAATGAAGGACGGACGGACAGTGGTTAAATAGGGATGCAAACCTTCGGCCCATCCTTTCTTGCTGGACCTTACGGCTTAAATGGAAACCTACCATTTCCCTCTTCTCACACACTCCCCTTCAACATGACCACACTCCTAAATGTAATTTCCAATCCCAGTTTAGCACATGGAGGGAAGGGAGCAGCGGCCTCAGCCCTGCCTTAGAAGAAAGTATACCTGACTTCCCAGGACGCGGCTCAGGCCCGTTGCTCCTCCAATACCTCCACTCAGGCTGGCAGAGGTCTCCCTGCCTCCTCAGAGACGTCCCAGGAAGCATGGGGTCCGTGTTGGCTGTGCTGTCCACCACCAGCCGCTGAGGGAAGCCCATCTCCAGATCCTTCTCCAAATCCTCCTCTTGAGAAGTGGAGGAGGAGGGACAAACAGCCATGGGAGCTTGCACTGTGGCTTCCTCCTCTTTAGGCCCCTCTAGGGGCAAAAGCTGTGCCACGGGCTTCAGCTCCACCTCTGGGTACCTTCTGGCTGTGGCCCCGGAGCTTCTGGTGAGAGGCCACCAGGTGGATCCAGCCAACGGGCAGCAGCAGAGACCGCCCTGGCACAGCAGCTGGCAGCAGACGTTGGGGTGGCAGGGAGGGCACAGGAACGGGGTGCCCAGTGGAAGCCCATAGGTGACACATCCAGTGACCGGCCCCAGCGGAGAGCAGCAAGGGGCCCAGAGGAGAGGACTGGGGTGCTCCCTGATGAAAGGGTTGTGCAGCCTTTCCACAGCCTTCTTCCAGACAGCTGGGGATACCCACCTGACCCCACCTAGAGGCACTGTAGCCATCTTGCCGTTCCAGAAGTGAACAGTAATTTCTTCTTCTTTTGATGCTACATAATAGAAAAGGGAAACATTTTGTTACAACTACCTCTTCTGTATCATGGGGTAAGAGCCTCCTATCCCCAAAAGCCTCAGCACAGCCCCTCTGCTCTGCCTACTGCGTGCATGCTTCTCCCTGGAGAACCTGCCAGAAACATCCCCTCACCTGCGCCATATCTATCACCGCTTCCCTTGCACTTGCACTCACACTCACATGCGGCTCCCTGTCTCAATTTTCATGTCAAAACCAAAATGCATCCTGAGGTGACAGAAGAAAAGGAGGAGCTTCCTTCTGTTACTCTTTGAATTACAATGATGCCAACTAGTTGGCCCTGCAGAAGGGGACTGTCCTAGTCTCTAGAGTTGGTGGGGGGACAGGTCATGAGTACTCGTGTGATTGACCCCAGGACAACCCCACTACAACATAGGCTAGCTAACCAACATATAGTAGTTTTAGGCTGTTTTACCCTGATGAAAAATATTTTATAACCTGAAAAATATGATTTGTATATCTGTTGCCACCCCCAGGACTAAGCTGCAAGTGAGGGGGTAAGGTTTTGGGATTTTTTTCTTAATGCCTCTAGGACCCCTAAGCTGTAGAGACCCCTTTGCTCCCTCTGGCCTGATCACCAGCCTGGCTCCTTCTGGGGAGCAGCTTTCCTTACCTCTCTGCGGTTCTCTCGCCTCCAAGCCTAAGACAGTGGCAGGACCATACCGCTGCTGGTCTGGCTCCCAGGGTGCCAGCACCTTGTCTCCAGGTTGCAGTGAGTATTGCGTGAATGGCGAGAACTGAATGACATCTTCTCCTAAGACCACACTCTGCCACTGGGCTGGCAGCTTTGGGCCTGTGACAAGGGGAGCATCAAATTCCACAAGAAGGGCCCCCTGCCTTTCCAGCTGTGGGAAAGAAAACACTCTGAATAAGACCTGGCATCAGGAAGGAAGTACCACAGGGAGCACCATGGTTCCCTAAAACCAGGCCCAGGGTCTTGCTGACAAACACTGAGGCCATTTAGAGAAGGGACAGGCCCGGTGCTGTGTAGAGCCGGCTGCAGCAGGGCCAGCCAGGTGGAGCAGATGCCCTCCCCTCTGCCTCCTCTTGCGTGGCTGACTCTTGTTTACCACGTCCTGCCTTTCCCTGCCCATTCTCTTCCTTTTCTTGCTTTGCTTTGCTCCTGTCTCTATTTTTGGTCTATAATCCCTGAGTTTTCTGGATCTTTCGCCAATGCACTCCCACTCCTCCCAGCACTTCCAACAAGTGTTGTCCCTGTATCCAGGACCAGCCAGGGATGCTCTATCTACAGGCCCACATGGCCAAGGAGTGGCTGTGGCATTAGGGCAGCCTCGGCACTGCCACTACATCTGTGAGGTGAGGTTTGGCCAAGCAACTGGAATGGCATAAAAGAGAGGGCAGGAGAAGTACTAAAGCTGATTAAAAGTACAAGCTTTGTAGAGAACTTGGTATGATTTTGAAGAGAAATAAAGTCTGGTTACTGATTACTTTCATCAAATTACTAGACAACCTATATTTAAGCAAAACTCTGCTAATATTTCCTTTGAATTCCCATATTAGTTACTTGAAAATGACAAAATGACTTGACTGGAAATTCTATAATTCCTTTATTTTTTAGAATTCACACTAGTCTTTCCTCCATGGATCCACATTCGCAAAGTCTGACTCTGAACAGAGAAAAATCACGAAGCAAGCAGCCACTGAAGTAAAGGCGGGGCTCCCAACATGGAGGGAGGACTGAGCTTCTGTGTGCACGGGCACACAGGTGTGAGCAGGCACACAGGTGAGGATGGGCACACAGGTGTGAGCAGGCACACAGGTGAGGATGGACACACACATTCTGCTCTTACCTTCTCGTGTCCGTTATTCGACACAGTGAATTTTCCTGAACAAAGTACTTTTACTGTACATTTTCTTTACTGTGTTGGATTTAATTGTGTCCCCCCAAATTCCTGTGTTGGAGTCCTAGCCCCTAGTACCTCAGAATGTGACCTTACTTGGGAATAGGGCGTTACAGATATACTTAGTTAAGATGAGCTCACACTGAGTATGACCAAGTAGGATGGGCCCCTAATCCAATAACTGATCTCCTTATAAAAGGTGGAAATTTGAACACAGACACGCACACAGGGAGACCACCATGTAAAGATGAGGCAGAAGTCAGCTCGATGCATCTACAAGGCAAATAACACCCAAGGTTGCCAGCAAACCCCCAGAAGTTAGGAAAGGCCTGAGAAACAGGTTCACCCTCAGAAAAACCTACCCCGCCAACACCTGGACTTCCAGCCTCCAGAACTGAGAGACAATGAATTTCTGTTGTTACCGAAGCCATTCCGTTTGTGCTGCTTTGTTACGCAGTTGTGTCTCCACAAACTAATACCCTCACTGGCATTACATTTTCCCCTGTACAGCCTGGCCATGGTGATCTGTGCTTCTCCAAGAAACTGAACTGCTGGGCACACACAGTGGAGGCACACACAGTGGAGGCATATCAAGTGTGACAGGGCCACCCAGAGGAGTGTGCCGGGGAGATGTGGGGAGTTAGAGACTTGCCTCTGGGGCAGCCTTTATCCGAGCCCAGTAATAAAAGCCATCTGGTTCCCTTCTTGCCAAGACCCATGTGTCAGCAGCACCTCTAACTCCTCCCAGCCAGCCAGGTCCCTGCCATGCTGGGTCTGCACTGTGGAGATACGGGTGATAACACGAACATCTGGAAAAAAGCAAATGGAATTAGGGGCTAGAGGAAATCAAGCCCTAAAACCATCATGAAACACATTTCACAGCTATATCTGAGCAGCACCACGGATGGGTCTGCCATACAAGGCTATGTGGAACACAAATGCACGTAAAAAGAGGCAATCTAGGATTCCGGTTAAGATAAGGTAAACTGTGCGAAGGGGCAGGTGGAGAGGACAGTGAAGGAAACCATTGTTTGAGAGTTGGGAATTGTCCCAAGGTTATCAAAATGTAATAAGCCTTGATATATTCAAGTCAATTAATACTGGTTCTGAGACTAGACAGCAGACCAGAAAAGAGTCCCGGGAAGGTAAAGCCAAAGGGGGTGAGATTCCAGGATGAGGCGTGGAGGCTCATCCAAATGATGCCAAAGGAGCAAAACTGTAAGGCCATGTGGTGCTGTGGGGTCAAAAGAAAGGAGGAAGTGTCTGAGCAGGGGAAGCACAGAGCAGCTGAATGAGGGGCTGTGGGGACCGGAAAAAAGNTCAACATCCTACCCCAAATACATTTGTTACAATTAATTAACCGATATTGACACATCATTATCATTCAAAATCCATAGTTTATATTAGGGTTCACTCTTGGTGTTGTACATCCTATGGGTTTTGACAAATATATAATGACATGTGCCAGCATTATAGTATCATACAGAATCGTTTTACTGCTCTAAAAAGCCTCTGAGTTCCACTTATTCATCCCTTCCCTGCGCCCAGTATCACTGATTTTTTTTTTTTTTACTGCCTCCATAGTTTTGCCTTTTCCAGAATGTCATATTATTGGAATCATACAGTATGGAGCCTTTTAAGGTTGGCTTCTTCACTTAGTAATATGCATTTAAGGTTCCTCCACTTATTTTCATGGCTTGATAGGTCATTTCTTTTCAGTACTGAATAATATTCCACTGTCTGGATGTACCACAGTTTACTTATTCATTCACCTACTGAAGGACATCATGGTTGTTTCCAAGTTTTGGCAATTATGAATAAAGCTGCTATAAGTATCCATGTGCAGGTTTTGATATGGACATAAAATTTCAACTAATTTAGGTAAATACCAAAGAGTATGATTGCTGATCTTTATAGTAAGGATGTGTTCAGTTTTGTAAGAAACCGCCAAAGTGTCTTCACAGTGTCCTGTGCCATTTGCATTCCCACCAACAATGAATGAGTTCCTGTTGCTCCACATCCACACCAACACTTGGTGGTGTTAGTGTTCCGGATTTTGGTTATTCTAATAGGTGTGTAGTGGTATCTTGTTTTAATTGGTATTTCCCTGATGATATATGACGTGGAGCAT